GTGATTTAATCATCGACATTGATATAACAGTTCTATCACATATTCCTATTCGAAATTTTTGCGATGTTAAGGCGATTTTACGATTCCTCCTTGAATATTTTATGTTCATATCCTTGATGTTGTTCTTCCTTCTCCATCCTTCGATTGTTGCAGACAGTAACGCAATTCAAATTCACCCATTGCAATTTCAAGATTAAAAGAATCCTCAGTATCTAAATTAAAATAACCATTGACTAATATTATATAATTTGACTATATTGTATAACTTAAGCCAATCTAAATATAAATTATTTGTATACCTTTAATTGACCAGTATTTATAAATTGCAATAAGTTCACAATCACCGAGATATTAAAACAGAATAATTATATCAAATATTATTATTTTCAAACGATTTAACAAACAATGATTACGGGCAAGAGACAAAGATAATATGTTGAAGAATATGTAGTGGAAGGGGAACATGCGTGGTAGTAGAAAGATAAGAAGGAGAACCAATTAGAAAGGCATTGCATTTAACTTAAATACATACATTTTCCAACGAAAAAAATAAAGACAAATTAATTTAGTCAAACAATTCAGTCAATAAATGAACGATTTTTTCTCAGTGTGACGACAAAATACGACTGAAATTATACGAAATCTATGCGAGACTGCAAATTGAAATTATATACACATGTTCGTATATCGAATGATACACTGAAAGAACGATTTTGCAGAAATAGCTAAAAATTTAGTTAGAGGCAGATCTGGAAGTATTTTTGGTCCATCCAGATATTTGTGTAGAAAACAGCACGATGAGAATGCTGCAAAAATTTTTCATATTTTAGTAATCAGTTTAAGCGCCCTACGTAATTACTTTGATAGTCTGACAAAAGAGGATGAATAAAATTATCGGATTTTAGCTTAAACGAGGGCATCTTTCTTTATGCATGTTTTCTTATATGTTTTTATGTGTTGAATTATTTGCAAACGGTACTTTCAAACTGATTTGATGGAACCATGTTGTAAATCGTATTATAAGTAGCACAATTTTGTCAAAATCTGATTTTTTATTGTAATTTTCAATATTTTCCCATCAGTTTAGCTTGAAATTAACATTTGCAACTGATTTAGCACATCGAAAAATACGAAAAAATATATTTAAAAAAGGTTTTGTTGCTTAAACTAAAATTGGCTATTTTACTCAATGTCTTGAGCAATAAATAAAATATACAATTTTGATTAAAGCAGTGGAATTTTCCTTATGCATGTTTTTATTTTCTTTAATGTGTTGAATCATTTGCAAATGTTAATTTCAAGTTAAACTAATGGGAAAATGTTAAAAATTGCAATTAAAGATCAGATTTTGATGAAATTGTGCTACTTTTAATGCGATTTCCAACATATTCCCATTAGATCAGCTTGAAATAATCATGTAATTATCAAAAAATACAAGAAAACATGCATAAGAAAGGTACCCTCGTTTAGGCCAAAATCCGATAATTTTACTCATCCTCCTTTATTTTCAAATCTATATTTAGCTAAATTTTTTAATATCTCAGCGAAACTGTACCCAGTATCATTTATTTTTAATCACTTCTATAAGCCGCTGCTTCTACTTAATGTGTCGTTAATTTAACAGCAATGAAAACAATTTAACTTTAACTTAAGAAAATATATCAAATTTAACTTAAACTTACAATTAGTTTATTATTTACTGAACGTATGTTAATATGGACATTGTTTATTTTGAAATTAATCATAGAAATAAATTGATTTACATTTTGACGTATGTGGAAATTAAAAATAACAAAACGTTACTTAATACAAGTTATTAGATTACCATTGCTCTTTTGATATCTAACAGTGTATGAAACTCTCATACATTGTTAGCAATTAAAATTATACAGAATCCATAGAATAAAACTGTAATTGAAAAGTGATACAAAATATTTATCTTTTATATTTTATAAAAATATATTCTATATAATTGTATAAAATAATATTATATAAAATGATAGTCTATCGTTCTTATTTTGTCGTGTAGAATTACGGGCGTAAAAAAATTATAAATAATTCGAATAAATAATATTGTTTATTAATGACTGAAACTCCCCTTTATTTTCTCTGCTAGTTGAAGTAATTAACATTCGGACACTTTGCTTTTTCATTGATTCTCGTGGCTCAATAATCTTGTGTAATTATTATAGAAACACCTGCGGGCATTAAAACGTCGTTGATTAGCCGCATTGCGTGGGCGCAACTCGATATTTTCCCTTCTCGATTAGTACGGTATTAATATATCGATATTAATAAGCTGTTTTTTTTTCCATTAAGGCCCAGCATGTGATCGCATGTGTAATTACGGAATTAAACACCCCAATGAATTATTCGACAATATTAATTAATTTGCAATAATATTAAATAAATATAATATTAATGAAAATAATATTAACTGATTAAATTAATATTTTTTGTGAATATCAATAGCTTCAAATCGACAATCTCTATTCGTAAAAAAACTCAAATAGAATTTCAAATGCAGAGAATCGTTTTATGTTTTTAGATTATGTTTTCCGTTATACGTAGAAAAATAAATTAAAGAAATATCCATCCTCTCTCTATAATTTAAAGTATTGTTTTTCATATAACGAGTTGCACGTTAATGATATACTAGCAAAGGTAATTGCATCTCTGTAAAAACGTGGCTTGGATCGCAAACAACAGTTCCTTTATCGATTCGATCTTGGCGTTGCATTCTACATGAGCGACGTGTATCACCTTGGCCAGATGCAGCCTTAGAAACTGATTAAGTCACAGATAGCTATTTAATATCTATGCTGGCGTTTGCGTTATGAGATCATCCCAATGCGCGCAGTACGCGTTCTGTTCTCGCGTTACACTCTGCGATTAATGAAATCGCCAAGCCATGGCGTACTGTTTTGCATATGCGCGAATTCTCTAATTTCCCCTCCTGTTGTGTGCACATGTGATAATCTCATTTGTTCCTGGTGTTTTCAACGTTATTTCTTTCGCGGAAAAAAAAATGTTTCTACACGTGAGAGGCAGAAAATAACACAAAATCCGAAAATTAAAAATAGGTTTTCAATCGATTTACTTATAATTGTTTAAAAGATAAAAAATAATTTTTTAAAGGCAATCATAAAGATAATTGAAAACATGGGACTAATTTATAATTGTTATTTCAAGTTAAATTATATTAATGTGTCAAGTTAATTTTTGATGTATAAAAAATTAATTTTTATCATTGATATGAATAATTTCTATTAAAAAATATTTTGTTGAATAATATTTTGTTTGAATTTAATATATTCTGATTTTGCTGATTTTAAAATATTTATTATTAATGTTGGTATCTTTTAAAATATACAAAGAAGATATTGTATTTGTCGTGATTTATTAAATGATGAGAAGTCTAATCGACTATATTTCGTAAATCAACGAATTAGACTTTAGAGAATGAGTATTTATGCACCAACACGAAAGTTTTTTCTTCGAACATTCAAGGTGAACAGCAAGTCTCATTCAAGGCGAATGCAACGCTAGTTTGTACCACGCTAGGTACAACATATCTCTCAATTACGTGTTTGCTGGTTTGTCTGTGAAACTATTAAAAGTATATATACGATCCAAAGTATATACATTATCATGTAATTATTCACGCTAAATTATCACGAAGTAAAAAAATTGAGTCGCGATGTATAAGTGGACGTTGTAATAATTGCCATATTTTAGCAATATACAGAATGTCCGGAAAATTGGCGTTAATATTTCGGGAAGTGATTCGGAAGCCAAAAAGAAGGAAAAAAGCTATATAAACATAAATCCAGAAATAGATCGTTTTCAAGTTATAACCACTTTTACGTTAAAAAATTAAAATTTATTTTTCATAATTACAATCATAATTTATTTCATAGTGTTTCAACATAAATAATACATGTTTAATTTTTAAACTTTTTTTACTTTTTATTTTTTAATTTTTCGATATTTGTAAATATGATTACTGTATTATTTTAAAATAAACAAGTATTTAAATAGAAATTAAATAAAATGTTCAAAATGACCACCTCCAGCACGAATGCAGACCCTTATTCTTCTATTAAAAGAATTCCGACTTCTTTGAAAAATATTTGGATCCTTTCTTATTTCTTCGAATCCAGGGATTGTTTGTCTTAAGTCAATATTATTTATATTATATATTAATATTAATATTCTATACTTATTAATATATTTATAATATTCTATACTTATTAATACTTATTAATATTATATATTCTATACTTTCGAATAATATGGTACAGATAATTATTGTACATTTATATATATATCCTATGTAGACATTTTTTATTAATTATATAGTAATTGGCGTATCAATATCCGCTGTGTATATGCTCTTATTGTTCATATTTTTTATTGTATTTTTTAATTTTGAGAGCCCGATTAATATTTATAATTTAGTAGTCAATATTATTGGGCGTATTTCTGTAAGCTATTGACTTTACATGATCCTAGATAAAAATCAAGTGGATTCATATCTGATGATCTTGGGGGCTAGGCAACCGGACCTCCACGTCCTATTCACCTCTAGTCATAATTTCAATTTTTTAACATAAAAGTGCTTATAACTCGGAAACGACTTATTTTCGGATCTATGTTTATATAGCTTTTTTTCCTTCTTTTTGAGTCCTAAATCACTTCCCGAAGTATTGACGCCGATTTTCCGGACACCCTGTATATGCAAGATATACACGTATATTGCTAAAATGATACGAATAAGAAACAAGCATTTCACATTTAAAATATCTTTTCTCTCAGACGTTTTTTTTCTACGCGCGATATAATATAATTATTTTCTAACGAATATCATTCCTTAGATAAAATTTTATGAGCAGGCTACATTTACTTTACAAATGTATAAATTACATTGTTTTTTTAAGACATACTATTTGTTGAGAATAACATCGGTTATCATTGCATACCTTATATTTTTCTTCCAGACGGAGAGCGAATACTCAGTAGAAGAACAAGCGAGATTAACGGGTACTGATGGACCAGGTGGCGATGAAGCTTCACCTGAGGATGAGGGAGGTTCGCTCTGCGAGTACCACGATATACCACCACCGCCGGATGGCGGATATGGTTGGGTGGTGGTATTCGCATCGTTCATGTGTAACATGATAGTGGACGGCATTGCCTACACGTTCGGCGTCTTTCTGGGAGAATTCGTCAAGTACTTTGGGGAAGGAAAGGGCAAGACTGCTTGGGTTGGCTCGTTGCTGTCTGGAATGTACCTCAGCGCTGGTAAGATACGCGAAATGTCTTTCAAATTTCGCTATCTGAACTTTAAAGTCTAGGATACGCCACCACCGTCGAAAAATATTGTAATAACATCTCCTTCGTAGGAAAAAAATTAATTTTTCCTTAGCAAAAATTTTATTATACTAAAAATTTAATAGGGAAGTACGAAACGAGAACAACCGTATTTTTTGGACAAAATCCTCAAGAATAAGCTTTATCTAAATGAAAAAAGATTAGATTGTGGTCTTGTTGTAACGCTTTCGATAAAGTTCATACTAAATATAGTTATTAAAAATATAGTTACTAATTAAATAATAGTTCTTAAAATAACTTCTAGTGTCGTGACGTATTGTTTATCGCTGTACATATACATTATATGTTAATTTTTCCTCGTCATAGGCCCCATTGTCAGTGCTTTAACGAATAAATATGGCTGTAGAGCAGTATGTATGGCAGGAAGTTTCTTAGGCGCCGCCGCATTTGTACTTTCGACGTTTTCGAGCAGTGTAAATATGCTTATGATGACTTATGGTATTATGGGAGGTGCGTAATGATTCACTTTGATCGGCGTTCTTTGTATTTTGTCAATTCTCTTCATTCTTCACGTATCTGCAATTGTTCTTTTAGGAATTGGATTCGGTTTGATATATCTACCCGCAGTAGTTTGTGTAGGCTATTACTTTGAAACCAAGAGATCCTTAGCTACTGGCATCGCTGTGTGCGGATCGGGATTCGGTACGTTCGCGTTCGCGCCTCTTGCGACTATGTTGCTGGAGGCGTACAGCTGGAAGGGAGCAAACCTAATCCTGGCTGGCCTCATCTTAAATTGCGCAGTAAGTAAACAGTGAAATCACTCGCTGCTCCTCGCTACTTTGACTGTGCAGGGACATAACACAAAGCTTTAGATTAATCGAGATGACATCTCGTATATCTGATAAAAAAAAATAGATGATTTTTAGGTATTCGGTGCCATGATGAGACCTCTGGAATATCCGAAAGCTTCCTCCGTTAAGCCGTTGCTGCAAAGAATGGCCGAAGAGAAGAGATTTCAAATGGAACGTGGTAGTATCGGTGGCTCCTACTTTATGGTGCAGTTACCGGACGGATCCATGGAAAAGAGGATGAAAATGCCCATTAATATTGATCCCGGTGTTCATTCCAGCTTCAATTTAGACCAATTAGTGCCTGGTAAGGAACTCTGACTATCAAATTTGATATGTTCTGGTGGGACAGTGGAGTAAGTCGCAAATATTGGAAAACTGAATCGATCATACATCTTAGTTACGTTGTCAGATACTTTCTTAAAATATAAAGTAAAAATATTTTAATTAATTTCAAAATTTTTGAATAATTGAAAAATTCTTTTTCTAAAAATAGGAATTTAATTGTTTCAAAATCAATATTTATGTCGTTTCTATAAGCACAGGCGCGTGAGCTTTCCAAGTAATCGAAATAATAATACGATACTTCATTGAATACCCGTAATATTAAAGGAACTCCTTTAACACCAGTTCCGACGGTGCCAACCCTTCCCACCATATCTGAAGTGAAGGTGCAAGAGCACTCATCTAGTGGACATACCAGTGATAGCGGCAGTATGGATTTAAAAAATATTTCCAACAAGTCCAAGAGCAAGAAAAGTATCGATGAAACCAAAGACACGAAGGACGCGGAGAAGCCCGAGAACGAGTTTAATAAGACGATAATCCCCAGAAACGCGTCGCAGCCGGCTTTCACGACCCACGTTCAAGGTTTGCCTAAAAACGGCTCCGTGCCATTCTTTGACAGAATCCGTAAAACGAGTACCAGCGAACGCTACAAGCCTAGCCTTAGTGCAATAAAGAATTCTAGGACAACGCTTAATTCTAACGGAGATATCAGAAAGAGCTTGCATCTGAGACTTTCTACTAGCAGTATGTTGGGATCGCGAAATAATAATGCTGAGGTTGATGTAAGTCAGATATTTAACAGATTCAACTTTTTTTTAACAGAAAATATCTTTATCATTCTTTCTAAACAAGTTATTTGCATAAATATTTTTTTTAAATAATCTAATAAAAAATATGTACGTGTCTTCTTTCTATATTAGGATGGTGAGAGTATTACTTTTACTACCAGTAAAGCTAGTATCCAAAAAGAGAAACCAATGATTGTCCGTCCCTTATCGAGAAAGGATATTTTCTACAGTGGTAGCGTAGTCAATTTACCAGAATACCAAAGCCAGAAATCCCTTGCCAATTATCGTCAGAGTGTTGTATCTATTCCCAAATCTGTACGTGGTGATTTGAAAGACATCGATATCGAAAAAGCACAACAACGTATGTATACGTTTTTCATTTATATATATATAACTTAAACAATATTATTAAAGGCCAGAAAAATAACATAAATTTTAATTTTTTTAGAACCTTTATGTCCTTGTTTGGTATTGCCTGACTCGTTTAAGGAAGCTTTAGCGACGATGATGGATTTGTCTTTATTGAAAGATCCTGTTTTCCTTCTAATTGGTATTAGCAATGTGTTTGGTATGGCTGGACTGTATGTTCCTTTTGTATATCTGGTGGATGCCGCGGTCTTAGATGTATGTTATTTATCAATCTTTAGTATATCACTGAATTATGCAATATCATGATTCAATGAATGTCATTCCTTTTTTAAGGGAATTGAAAGCAATTCTGCATCATTCTTATTATCTATTATTGGAATAACGAACACCATAGGTCGTGTGGCTTGTGGATATGTCGCCGACTTTCCGCAAGTCGATTCCTTATTACTAAACAATATTTGCTTAATTATATCTACCATCGCAGTAGCCGCTACACCATTTTGCCATAGTTATGCCGCTTACATTATCATGAGCATATTTTTTGGGATAGCAATATGTAAGTATTTCAACTATGCAACTAAATATCTTAAATATCTATTATTTTAATTAAAACTGTCAAGTACGAAAATTGATCTCATTTTGAATATTTTTATTATCTTACGATTTGGATTTTAGCTGGATATATCTCATTAACATCGATCATCTTGGTGGATCTCTTGGGATTAGATAAATTAACGAATGCTTTCGGCCTTTTAATTCTATTCAGAGGGGCTGCCGCTATAGTTGGCTCACCCTTAGCGGGCGCTGTTTATGATGCAACGCAGAGTTACAGTATCCCGTTCTTCATGGCAGGATTCTTCTTCCTTATGAGCACTATTACTAGTTTCATGGCCCCTGCTATGAAACGGTGTACTACACCGCAGGTAAGACTCATATAATTTTCAATCTTTAGTCAGTATTTATAATTCGTTCTTATTTTAAAACCGTTTTAATGTCTTAAGATGCTCTAATAAGGTTCTATAATTAGTTTATGACATTTTAAAAATTGCGATAAACTAATCACAGAGTTGTATTAACATAAGAACAAACTTTATGAATATCAATCACTTCTTGACTCGGTAATGAGTAACGGTAACTAGGTAGTAATTTTTTAAAAGTAACTTTTCAATCCCTGCCAATCTTTCGATGTTACTTAACCTTCAGAGAATGAAAGTCTATTTTTTAAATCTTAGAGCTTTTCTTAAATAAAATTTATTACAATTCATCATTTCGTTGTATTCCTTGCCTCAAAATATTGTTTTAGCACCACTATAGTAGTTTTCTTTTGCTGTAAAGGTTTAATTATATCGTGACTTTTGCATTTAATATTAGTTCCATCGCTACATTTTTAATAAATGGTATTTTTCACTAGCTTATAATAATACTGAACACTTACTACGAAAATTATCGAATTATTTTACTTGTTGCAGACTCAACCTGTGATATTAGATACTTTGACTCCAATCGACGAAGATATTGAAGAAGAGAATGAGGAGGATATACCGGAGATAGTAGAAACTGCGCCGTCACCCTTAGAGCCACCCGAGAAAGAGATCAAGCAAATAGAGTCTGTTTTATAAGTACTTCTGATCTTTTTTAAATGGATTATAAAAATCGCCTTCACTCCGAGCCACACTGTGATAGGGCTGCTACTTTTGAAGTCTTAAAAAAAGGTACTTCTTTGTTACACACTTAATCGATAAAGCACAAATTAGTGGCATACATACCTGATGGAATTTTTTATTGTACTTACAGTTGGACTTGTATGTACTATTGTATGTTTGTCATATTATTTTTGTTTTTTTATCGGAGCGAATAAATGCGATATACGCGTGAAAATGCCATCAGGTATAGATAATTACTGTTAGTTGCCTATATGTAATAGTGAATAATAGATAGAATGTTTTATTAACTTAATCAGTATCGATCAAGCAGTATATATATATACACATATATATATAGAAACAGAGAGAAAGAAAGAAAAAAATATTAAACTAAAAAAATGCTCTTGCACGTGCATATCGAGTAATCTTGTATAAATTATTATATAATCTGCATTATAGAAATACGATACTGTATAATTCGATAATTATATGGTATGCAAGCATACAAGGATTGGTCAAGGTATCGCTGATTGGATGCTCGTTTTAATCATGACGCTTAAGAATGTATAGATGAATTTATCTGTGCACTCTATTAACTGTAACATATTTTGCGAAAATAACTCGTGTACGAAACAACGACGATGTTTTTTTCTGATCAACATACGATTGACCATCCTTGATTGAAAAAAATCCCACCAATGACCTATCATGTTAGTTAAATCTATTTTTGGCCACATCCAAAGATACTACTCGAATTATATTCATGATTCAGAGAGATATTTTCTTGCATACTTGCGACAAATGTATATGTATATATATAAATATATAAATATATACACACATATACATATAAGCGAAGGAAAGAATGTGAACTATCATTAATATTTACATGCAACAAATATATCGCTGTTGCACAGCATAAACTGTAAATAATTTATAGAGAGTTACAAATATGTATACATATATATATATGCATATGTATGTAACAAACTCTAGAAATTAAACTAACGAACGATAGAATTAAACTAAAACTAAAGCTCATAATTACAAAGTTATGAGTTCTCTACACGCTGCAGTCTCGCTGAGAATTCGCGCAATTAATGTATTCATCAAGGAATAATTAATGCATCATTAGATAGACTAATTAATATATTGATTATCTGAAACAGAGAATCCTTATTGATGTGTAAAGAAACGCGTCTCGTCTGCTACAGCTAGTTTGTATAAGTGGATTCAAGCGTTTAGTTTGATGGAACTGACTGTGCAGGATAGTACTTAGAAAACACGTTAAGTAATGCAAAAGTAATTTCGGGCCGTCGTGTCTCGCGCGATGTGTTGTCAAAGCGCAAGCGATTTGCGAGCGTTTCTCGTATGTATGTGTGTGTGTGTGTGTGTGTGTGTGTGTGTGAAAGTTACATATGTATGTAACTAATTTCATTATGGCGGTGACGATCATTATTGGATCGATGTAATTAATGTTTGAGAGAGAATATATGCCTACAGACGTGCACGCAATAAATGTATATGCGTATGTGTGCATTATTACACATGTAAAAAAATATCTATATGTACACATTGTACACATATAGACCGAGAAGCTCGTTGTAAATCGTGTTGAGTGGCAAATGCACGCGTAACATCGTGTGCATTGTGTATATAGGACATCGTAACGATTATAATTAATTATAAATCGCGCGCGGTCGTTGGTAAAGAAAAATTGAAAAAAGATTAAAGAGAAGAACAAGAATAATTGTTGCTATATCGATAATGAAAACCAACAGTGCTATTACACTATTCGCCACCGCTGCTCTGCTATTACTAATTACCTATCACGATTACAATATTATCGTAGTACAATTTACGTGATCGCACGTTACTTACGTTTCGTTTTATAATCGTGCGGAGAAGAAGAAGAAAAGAAGAAGAAGAAGAAGAAGAAGCCATGCATACGTTTTCCGTATAGTCTCAATCAAACGCGACCGTGGCACGTATGTATACACACGGCCACCTGCGTTCCCGCGTATGCGAAAATCGCATGTACTCACGCGTGCACGCGCACCGTGTCGAAAATCCCGCGCAGAGAGTTACACTATATATTATTAGATTATATAAATAGCGTCGACAAATGCGCGTGTGCTCGCGTGACATTTTGCACGCGTACGTTCAATGTGTGGGCGGAACGAACTTTACGCGGTGGATGTACAATAGCATGTGTGCGACGTGCGCGCAATGCGTGTGCACGCACACTCACACGCAGAGAAATATTGTGGCGATGCAACTGGGAGGATATGTGTTGTAACATTGAATATCGATATTATCGAATATTATCGGACGCGACAATATTCGGTATCGATATTTCGATTCATTCTAAGAATTGAACACGAATTGAATCGGTAATCTTAGAGAGAATGTTACTCCAAATCTTTATTTTCCGAGGTACAAGGTAGACATTTGAAGAGAATTGAAACGACCGTATAGGGACGTTTTCTTAGCTTATACTGTTATATCGAATCATACCGACGGTTGAAAGAACGTCTTTTTTATACTTGAGTGCATGTCTGTATAAAGTGCTACGTAGCGAACACAGATTTTTGACATTTTGGAGTAAAATTTTTACTAACATTTCACGATTCGATTAAAAGATCAGTGAAATCGAAATTTATGAGCACGTGCGATTTCATCGCTGAGATATGTTGTCATTGTGTTAATTTTCAAGCATCACACACCAAAAGCCGATCTTAAACACCACATTGATAACAAATTGATCTAACAAATGTGGCGAACTCGATCGCTTCTATTGGAATTTTCTTTTTATTTAAACTTGAGAAAAAGAAGACATTAAAAAAAGAGCCAATTTTTGTTCAAAAAAGTGTAAGTAAAAGAAATAGTATTTTTTGTATATTTTGTATATTTTGACCTCATCAAAAAGGTGTAAATAAAAGAAATAATGATTTTTGTATATTTTGATCTCTCCTGGATACACAATGAAGTTATTAAAAAAGTTCGTAATATTTGGAAATTGAGTAAGAACATTGAACTTTGGATAAATACACCATGTTCTCATGCTCAATTTTCGAGATATTTTCCAAACGCTATGAATTTTTTTTAGTAATTTTATTATATCCAGAAGATCAAAGTCTATAAAAAGACACTATTTTTTACTTACATCTTTTTGGCCAAAGATCGGCTCTTTTTTAGTATTCTCCCTTGCGAAGTTTTATAAAAAATATAATGGTGAATTCGCACTACCCTGGATTAGTGCACATTAAAGGCTGCTTTATACAAAATCTCTAAATGGCATAATATGATTAACTTTGATGAAATAATATATTATATGAAATGGAATAATATCTGTATATTTTGTTAAATAATGTGACATATCATTATTGAGTATTTATCATTTAATACTAGAGTATTTATAATTTAATACTAGAACTGCTGATAGTGCCATTTTGACTCCGCTAATTATTTTTTTCTTTTTTGCATTAAATATGCAATACAGAATATAAAAAAATATGTGAATATAATATAAATAATTCTAACAATGCAAGTAATATCAAAATAAACTCTTTCCTAATAGAAAAGAAGGATAGGAAATTACCAAATTGGCACTTTCGACAGTTCTAGCAAAATACCGTCGGCAGTTTTAGTGTTAAAATATTTATATGTTTCCATTTAGCTTTACTAATTTCATGTGTAGCAACTTTTAGTTTGCACTAATCTAGTGTAATGCAAGTGACCAAATTTGCTATTAAATATTGTATAGAAGAAGGTATAAAAAAGAGAAGAAATATAATGGAAGGTTTTTAAGTAGATAAATAATTGATTTTTAATGCAAAATGTTCCGAAAATTTTAAGTAAAAAATACGACGGATTTTGATCGAACTTACGATAGCGATGTAACAAAGTATTCTTTACAAGATATGCTTTTCCGGATACATTTTCAATAAATGGATATTTTTTCATCGGACTCCAAATGTGGTGTTCCAGCGTCAAGTGAGAGCGTGGCGTCGATAGATAGAGCGTGTTAAAATGCGAACGTAATACCGTTACGACTACTAATAATTAGTTGATGTTACGAGTGTTGTTTACGCGCAATAATATATACAATTGAGCGAATTATTTATCGAAATTATGTTCGTCTATTCGCGACGACGCCGATCCTCGATTCTGTATAACGCGATATATATTGCCGCTACTGCCGCACTATTCTCTCCGCGTGCGAGCGTAAAAAGGAAAGACGCGCATGCCCTACTCCGTGCATATGTTAAACATATGATATGGTACAAAAAAGGACAAATGTATTAGGTGACGTTTATTGAAAATTGAAGAGGAAATTATGAATTTTTATTACTGAAAAAAAAGATTGCGTTGGCTCCTTCATTTCTGCATGTATACCCCGCATGTTCACCGGAGGAAAAAAAATGTTATTAATGCGCCCATCTTGACTTTCTCAAGTCGGATTTCATGATCTATCATGATTCTATCATGTGTAAATACCGACGTTACATCATTACGTGTAAATAGCAGATCGGAAGTAAATTATCAGCAATAAATTATATCAATTTATATATTTATTGTGTTATGTTGCTGCATTATTTTTGTTCCTGGCGAATCGTCAGTTTAGCATCACGGGTGTGTCATTGCATATCTACAGAAATTATGTCAAAAGCGAAAATTTATTTTTGCAGCGTGTATATTGAGATAAATTATTTTCGCGTGTTCGATAACTTGATATTTGTACTCTAACTTGTGCTCTAGAATTCGATAATATATATTCTTTCGGAGAATAATATATAGATATTCTTTTCGATTAACGAAACAAAGCTATAAATTTTTATCAACTATTCGAAAACTGACTATAAACTTTATAGTCAACGCGTAAACTAAATACGATAACAAATTATGTATTCATTAATTAAGATAAAAAACAAAAAATTCATCAGATTGATTCTGGTAACTTATTAATCCTTAATTATATGAATGGATCATTTGGATCCAGATGAAAATTTTAGTCGGCCGCTATTTTTGTACGGTTAATATTGCAGAGTTGAAGTGAAGAGGTAAAAAAAAACTTGGAACCTTTCTCTGTCGATTGCCGTAATGCAATTGTTTCGTTGTTGTCTTGACACTAATTGTGATGCAATAAAAGTTTGGCTTGGGTGATTTGGATCCAAATGTAAATTCAACAGATTTTTGCTGAAAGTGAAAATTCGTTTTCACGTAAGTATCTGTTTATTAGTGCTGTATTCAAGTATATGTGTCGTCTTTTTATAATTAAAACGTATATTCATTGTCAAAAAAGCATTTTTGCCTAGACGTCTTGATGAAACGATTGCTCTATTTTCTCGGAGTTATAAAATTGTGAGCAAATATTGAAATCATTTAATATGAAATATTTTTATTGCATTTTTTAAAAGAAGAAAATATTTGACATATCTTTGATATTATTTTTCCGAGCATGTATAAAAATATCCCCGATTCATCGCGCAAATAATTATACTTTTTGGAATGAATTAATATAATGTATTTTTTTTTCTTAAAGTTCACGTTTTCCTCTTTTCAAAACACTTATTTTTATCTGTACCTTTTTTTACCATAAAGATATGATTTTTTGAAAAAAAAAAAAAAAAAATTAATTATGCACTCTTCACAAATTGTTCTTTAGTATTTTTTTGCTTGTAGCCAGACTCTGTTATAAAGTCTCTGGTCTCCACAGAGCCTGTTTTCTGTAGGCCCTAAACGAATGTACACTTTTGCACCTTAAAGTGAGATAGATACATATATTTAATATTTAGCGAAAGCGAGAAAGAGAATTCTAGTGTAGTCTAATGCAGGAATAAAGAACATAATTATATTTATGTTCGGAGAAGGGGAGATCGGGCCCCTGGATTCTCTTACGCTATACAAGCTAATTATGCAGTTTTAATCGTTCTAATTCAGGTTTGTCCAAATCGATCCGTGTATAGCCGCGAAACTAGATAAGTCCGCCTCGCGCGCTATTTCGAGAGAACTAGGCACCAGGAACGAAACATTATTACGAGACCGCGGTCCCCATATAAACCAGAATGTTCGCCACTAGGAAGTGTCTCAGACCCTGCACAATAAAAGAAACAGGGAACAGAGAATAAGAATTTCAACCTATCAGAAACTGTGTATTCCACGATACATGATTTCTGATAAAATTTGAAATTCTTATTCTCTGTTCTCAGCTGTTCCCTGTTCCTTTTATTGTGCGGAGCCCCCTGATAGTATCGTATCAATCACATATATTATAAACGCGATCCACGTGCAGGTGGTCCAGAACGAAGCCAATCAATCAATCCATTTTTCGCGATTTTCATTACGTTTTTCTTCTTTCTCGTGTGCAGCAGAGCGAACAGGGCGAAAACGGGACCGTTCCTCGCGCGACAAGACAGGTGCGTGCTTCTGGGTCGCGCGATTAAACTCTTGATCCGCACTTTCGTTCAAGCGTGGCTAACGCAAGGAGGGGCTCGACGTATCTGAGGAAAAATCACACCGGAGGTCCAGAGAACCGCCTCCGCTTCGTTCCGCGCGCGCGAATCGCGAGTCGCCGGCTGGCGAACGAGAGAAAAATCTAAGTGACGGCTCCGAGTGTCCGCTTATCCGGCTCTCCCGTCCATCTCGTCGTCGGCTCTCGCCGTGCGAGAAGTCGTGAAAAGAAAGTGTGAACATGTGCGCGTGTTACACAGTCAAAGTGTAATTAAAATTAATTACGTATGTAACCGCATCTGAAATCACATGTATGAAGCACGCGCGTGTTCACGAGAACTGTCGCGAAGTGGAAAAGTTGTAATCTTTGAGAGATTTACGAAAACAAAATTTACCTGAACTCTTCGAATGGAAATTCAAGGTTCATCTATTTTAGCTTGCGCGAGAGAGAATATTCACACCCGCGCGCGTGACTCATCGGCGGCACTGAAGAATCACGCAAGAGCGGAAGCGGTTTTAAGAAGAGCACGTGTTTGTCTCGCCTGCCCGGGTAAAAAAAAGTTGGTAGAGAACGATATCTGTCGTCTTGAATATGGAATCTGGTTCGTGAATTCACTAATTTGAATCAAATCTTAAGTAAATTTTATAGAGCTCGATAAAATACGATAGGATTCATATCCAATTAATCTGATGCTCGTAAGGTCGATGAAGAAAACAATATAAGTTTATAGAAAACGATACAAATTGAAATCCTATTGTTTTCAATTATCCTCTATCAAATTTTTTTATTAGGGTGATCGAGGAGATTGAATATCGTATGAGCTCATCATTCGATAAAACAAAGAGGGTAAGATTTAAGTCAGAATAGATTATGTGTATTAAGAATGTATTACATATGTATTTTTTTAACAAAATGAAAAATTTATGAAAAAATTGCGTATTTTTCTATATTGTATTTAAAAATAATACACAAGCTCTTCTCGGCAGCGATATTTTATGAATAAAAAATTATTTCAAAAAAAGAGAGAGAGAGAGAGTAGATGAGTTTTTAAAGACTAATTAAGATAAACACAATCAATACTAGAAAAATGCCTATTACGGTCGAAGCTGGATCTTCATTGCTTTAAATAATTCAATCTTGAATTACTAATACACACTATATATGTACTTGCATATATACCATATTGTAGTCTTTTTAGAACTGCGCGCCGAATTATTTTTCCGGACTATAAACGCAATTAAAACTACTAGTAATCGCGAATTAAATTGACAAGCAATTTAATAATTTGATGCTACTATCAAGCGTCATATTATAAAGATGTTAATATGTTGAAACTGTTAATTAAGATAAAATGAGAAAGTTTTTATTTAAACTATACAATTATATCGTTAAATATAAATGTTGAACTTATAAATTAAATTGTTTCATATGTAATATTCACAACATTTATTTTTATACGGAATGTAGATATCAATTTCAAATTTCAGTCACTTTTTAAAAAACTTAAGGCATATATATGTAATCCGTAAGTAGTGCAGAATAGATTGCAAATTATATATATAAGGACCAGTTTCACAACTCATGGTTAACTTTTAACCGCGCGAGGTTCAACTTATTCATTATCTCTTTTTAATTCTAGAATTGGAAAAAGATGAGAAATAAATTAAACCTCGGTTAAAAATTAACTGAGTTGTTTTTTGTTTTGAGCCTTAGTAGTAAACGTGCGTGAGTTAATTTATTTCTATTTTTCATTTACTAAAACCGTTTCATTGTTTATAAAATTTCATAAAACAATATACATACAACTCTTTTAATTAAAATCAGTCTTTGAATAGATGCATCCATTTAATAAAATGTACACTGGTTTATATTATTATTTAAAAATAATATTTATTTATTAACTTGGAATATTTTGTAACTATTCAAAAAATCTACAAAGATCACTCATATTTACGTATTACGAATTAAATGTTAATTTATAATTAAAAGAAAAATGTTATCTAAAATTATCGACTTCGTTTGTAAATACATTATTTTTAATCGACTTAAAACGTAATTTTTTTTTTACTCGTCAGATGCTTGTTATCATTTATTATTATTCAAGGAAAGCAGATTATCATCTTTCTCGCTCTTTTCAGAGTAAGATGATATTTCTATTTTCGGAGAATGTATAAAACCAAAAGTTTCGAATAATTTATTTTCTCAGAAGAAGAGGAAAAAGAAGATACGAATCAATTTCGTGATCACGGGTGCATTGAACGATATCGGTCGAAGCCACAATTAACTAATTGGTGGTTGATTGAAGAGACGCGGATTCTGAACGTCGCCGCATTCCGCGCCGAGCGGCGAGACACAAATCAAAGGCCTGTTCTTTTCCCGTGCCCTATAGGACTAAACTTCTCGCATGATTCATCTTTTACCCTTTTCTCTTCAATGTGAAAAGTAAAAGAAGACAAATAAACTGTGCCAGAAGTTCAGTCCTGGGGCGTGGAAAAAGAGCAGGCCTCGCGAATCGCGTGTCGAGCCAGAGCGCGCGGCGACGACGCGACGCGACGCGACGGGCGTGCAATTTTACGCAACGAGCGCGTGTGTGGGCACGTCGCCCTTTAACAGCTTTTCCATACATGGCTCACATAACGTTAGTCATCTTCACGGCTTCCAACTGAGCAATTATTTGCCGATGACCTCGCGATCTGGCGACAGCGCAATGTTCCCACGGACGGAACCGACGCGTTTCGCGACACGTGTTACGCTCGAGAAGCGGACCTCGCGCCTCGCGCGCGGACTTTTTCACCGTCGTCGCGTCGTTACATCACGCGCGTCGCGCCACTATTACCAGTTCAGCGCTCTCGGAAACATCGAAAACGAGTTACGTAGAGAGCGTGTCTTGTACAATCTCTCGGGCTGAAACGGGTTATCAGACAGTCGCCTCCTTATCGCCAACCAGCGGCGACGCCGTTTCACGACGCTTGCCGCGCGACGCGACGCCGTCCAGCTTCCGAGGGTTGCTCAAACTCGAAAGCTACGTCCATTCTGAAAGGGTTTCTATATGGGAAAAATTATTTTGCAGGAGTATCTAAAATATTAGCTATATATAGACACAGATTTAAAAATAATTTTGTTTGAACCATTAAAGTAATTATGTAGAAAACTCAAGCTAATGAACTGTTGCAAAAAGTTTTGATATTCTAGCAATAGTTTACTGTTAGATATTAAAGGAGCAACAGTAATTCAGTTCTGGAAATTTCCTGATTCATTTTATTTTTTTTCAAATTGTTTTATTATATTCTATTATTTGAATAAAAATTGTTAGTAAGACAAATGCTTCTAGCAATAATAAAATAAATTAAAGGATTTTGCAGGACTATTTAAAAATTTAGTTAGATCTAAAAATTTAGTATCTAAAAATTTAGTTATAGAAATCTGCAAATAAATTTTTTATCTCATCAAAATAATTATGTACAACTTTTTGCAGCACTGTCATCAAGCGTAATTTTGATGATCCAACAAAATTATTTTCAGATCTGTATCTAGCTAAATTTTTGGATACTTTAACAAAACCATTTTTTTGTGTATATACGTAATCTTTTTTTAATTTAATCCATTTCTGTAGTTATTTTTAGTATCTTGAAAAGAACATTTTGCAATATAAAATTTCCGCATGAAAGTTCCTGAAATTTTACGTGTCTGAGAAATTCAGAGAATTCTATAAATCCATAATAGAAATATTAGAAATTTTATATTCTATTTTTTATATTAAATTCTATTTTACGTGTATTTTATTGTGTACGTAGCTTACTATTTCCTTTCTCGTTCGCTCGTTGTTTTATAGCTTACAAACGACCTAATTAATAATTATGTAATGTAACGCACGTCGTTTGATACAATGGATACTATCTGCCTACAATGAAATGTAGTATAATTCATTCAAGCGACGAGGCGATCGCGCGATTTCTGAAAGCCGTACAACTTAGTGCACGTTCGACACGCATACCTAATGTTAAATTTTACATAATCAGAAAGGGTACATAAAATATATGCGTACACATTGTGGTCAAGGGGATTACGGTGCGTTTCGTTTCATTTAGTTATACACAGTGTACTTGATCGAATTCGAGGGAGGCATATTTGCAATCTATGTGTGCCTTCCAATAAGCGACACAGTGCAACACAGTGATCATGTCATCTTCGTTTAACATTGGCAAACAACAAGGATGTAATAATCCGTTGTGTCACACCGTGTTACTTATGTCACTTGTTGAAAGGCACACTATAATAAGCGTGGACACGCGTAGCAACATCTACGTACATTCGTGCGTGCCGCAGAATGAGAAACCTGAAACGGTAAAATTTAAACTTGACACTTGACACTGATTGTGAGCTTTCCAATTGAATCGTGATAGTGAAAGAAAAGGTATAATTTTTTTATAATTTTTAAACTATCATTTGAAAAATTAGAAAATACGTACATATATATAAGATGTCCTAAAATTCGCGATTTAAAATATTACAACAAAAAATATTTTTCAGAAAATTAAATAATAAAATGATTTGTAAAGTTTTGTTTTAAACAATAGTTTCTCAGATATGAGAGATATATGACATATTTTAATATGGCCAATTACAGACAACGTTCAGATGATCACTTGTACTTTTTAAATTTCTTGGAATAAAATTTCATTCACTCTAAAGGAGCAAAAATACTGTCACTATTGAAAAAGAGTGAAAATATTTGCATTTTTGAATAAGGCCCAGTTTCACAATTCACGGTTAACTCTTAACCGAGGTTCAACTTATTTGTCATCTTTTTCCAATTCTAGAATTGAAAAGAATTAATAAATAAGTTGAACTTCGGTTAAGAGTTAACCGTCAGTTGTGAAACTGGGCCTAAGAGTGGCAGATTCTTACTCTTTTTTTTTAAATGAGATTTCATTCTTTTGGAATGAGATTTCTTTCCTTTGGAGTGAATCTCACTCGAAAGATTGAAATCTCACTCCAAAAGAGTAAAACCTGCCACTTATTTTATTTTTTTTCTATTATATAATTTTTCTGTTAAGAAATGTTACAATAACAATAAGTATTATCGCTATTAAGTTACATAATTACATTTGTATTTCCTTTATAATTTTACTCATGTAATAACACACATAAAAGATACTTTATATTTAAAAAATAAAGAAACAGTTAAAAAGAAAAATATTTTGGGTATTCTGATGAATTACGTTGTAACATTTTTTTTCTTAGCTATGATAAAAATTTATTAAAAACAATCATTGTTCTTTCCGCTACGAAACACGCAGCAATGAATTAATTGATCTAGTTAAAATTCAGTAACGTTCGCGTAATCAGTGAGCGATATCAGCGACACGTAGAATAAGTAGATGATGCCATTTGGATTTTTGGTGACCTCTTTTAGAGTCACTCACATCGATTGATTTATAACATTTCTCGCATACAACGTTCTGCGAAAAATAAATATCTTTTACAATGCCAAATATGTATTTTTCTTCGTTTTCCTGATTTTTGTCCACGGAACGATGTGATTTACAATCACTTATTTTCATATAATTCCCGAGGATATATCAAAGTATACATAAGAGATAATATAAATGGTTATTAAAATTTAAGACAATCAGATATAAACGTGATAAACGATAATTTACTGCCGAGGTGACGATTTCAACGTGCTGAATTTTCGGTATCGAAACTTTCTACAATTGTTACATCATACCGGACGCCGTCGCGACAAGACGTGCAAAATGATATTAGCCGTCTGCGTTCCAGTGTGTATTCAAAAATGCACTTGTACTATTTAAGGTATAATTATGATTGAATAGGAGGTATAA